CTTCTTAGTTGAGGAAGTTCTTTAAAGACAAATGATCAGAAATCAATTAAAAACCATCCATTCATCTACAAGACTGCAAACTAAGAAGAAAGAGAAAAAGCACATGCAGAACCCAAACTATATATACTGAACATAAAACGAGTAGAAGAATAGAGATTACGTAATTGCTTGTTCTGCTCCAAAATGTCCAAAAACCATGTACGGTTGCCAGATCCTGCAAAATGGGATACAATATACAATTAGTTGCCTAATCATGCATCACTAGTAAGTGAAAACACTTAGTTCAGGATGGTGAAAAACCATGATAAACAACAGGTTTTAAACCCGGATCCTTCATAATCACAATGGCAGGCGCAGATTCCACCTCCAACCTGTTACAAGAAAAGATATATGAGATGAGCTGATGTCTAATCGTGTGGTGGCAGTATCGAAGGGTTACATCCAAAACAGATATATATCATTAACAAAATCATTCCAAGAAGCAATAGATATTCATGGGGATGACCAAGACATGGAAGTGCAATGACATACCCATTCCACCAAAAAGATGCATCCTCTTCTCTCCAAAGAACGTAAGATAGAGACGCAAAATTCCAATAATCTTTTGCAGCTTGGCGTACAATAGGAGTGGCTCGCTCCCCTGTTTGTGAGAATAAAATGACTTTCACCTATTGAGTAGGGGGAAGAGCAAAAAGGACAAAACAAAAAGAAATAAGGTTTAGGTAGTAGACGTGATGCAGAAAACTATTACATGTCTGTTTAATATGTTATCTATAAGTTACATATGATGAAAACTCTTGATAAAGGATTAGATTCTACCGAGAAAAACTTAGAAAAGTTAAACAAACCTTGTTAGGTGGAACTTTGGAGAGAAACTTGGGTACCTAAACCAAAAACAAACATATTTCCAATTACTTAAAAAGGTAGGAAATAGTCCGAATATCCAATATGTGCCAATATATCACCACAGAACTCTCCAAACTATAAATTAAAAGATCTTACAACACTCAGCAGTTAAAAGAATGAGATTGAATAAAACATTAAGTAAAATGGTCTCACAGTTTTTTGGACCATGACATGGAAGAATCTAAAATGTTAGATACTAAATGGTCTACAGCTTTGCAGAAAAACAGATGAAAGTTTCCCAATGAAAGTTCCTAACATGGTTAAACCAACTACATCCCTTTTCCCAAAACCACTGTTTGCTGTTGCGGGAGGGTTATGAAAGGCAGAGGTATCTAGCTGGACTACCACTTCTCAAGACAGTGAAGAAGTTAAGACTACCAACTACGTAGGACATTATGGTTCCTCTAAAACTTACATTATCTACAACCAATTTCAACTCCAGCGATAAGTGGCTTTAAAAGATGTTATTCATACCAGTGTTTCTTTTGTGTGATAGAATACTCTAGGTAATCCCAGTACAGTGGTCGCAAACCAATCAGTAACTGCATCTGTTGACAGCTCTCCTTCAAATCTAACAAGTAGATAGATTTAAATTATAATTCTTGCGAGTAAGGAAATGAAGCAAGAAATTTATCTAAATGACTAGTCCGAAGAAAATTTCAGGAACCATCAAGAGTGCAGAAAATTATGCCTTTTCATTAAAATAAGGGTTAAGTCACTGAGCTACCTGATGAGGCAGTCTGCACTTTTGCAATCTGGAGGGAAAGAGACAATTGAAGGAAGGCCTGCAGGCATAGTATGAGGTTATAACAGGGAAAAATTATCCATACATCTTACATTAACTCATGAGAGCTCTGGTATGACAGCCAATGGTCGATGTACAGAAGAAAAACAAAAAATTGTTCTGTTGATTTTTTCTCAGCAGGAGTCATCTTTTCAAAAACGAACACTTACCCTTTCTAAAAAACACTTGTCCCGTTGGTTTTTTCTCAGCAAGGTAAGTCACAAGTTGGACATCGCCAAGCTCTACCATAGCATGGTTAGCAACCCCATCCAGCAAATCAACTGCAATTATAAAAAATTAGCTATAAACTTTACTGCAAAGCATGTCAAAACTGCAAAGCATGTCAACACTGTAATTAGCTATAAACTTTAGTGCACCCTCCTATTTGTTGAAAGTTATAAGATATCTTGATTTTCAGGTTACGATCATATTGTTCCGCTTACTTTGTCCATCACAGACACCATATTCTTTTCCAGAAACTAACACTGCTATAGCATATACTTCAAACTAACACTGTCGTATGCACTGTTGTCACTATTCTCAAACTGTAACTAAGGCTGGCAAGACTTTCGCACTTCAAACATACTACAGAAATAGAAAACATACCAATCCTTCTCCAAGCCGTAGAGAACTGGGCAGAGCTGTTGCTACCAGAAGAATACATCTAAAGACATTTAAACTAAGTTGCATAAGATGTAGCATTGCAAAATAACAAGACATGTGGTTTGCAAATTCATCTAGTTATGAATAAACACACCAGATTTATCATTGCCATACAAAATAAGATGTAGCATTGCAAATTCATCTAGTTACGAATAAACACATCAGATTTATTGGATCTTTTGAGGTTTCAAAAGCATGTAAGGTCTCCTAGACTTGGTAATCCAGTATTAGTTTTACAAACGTAATCTCCACAAATCTAAGTATCTGTGTACATCAAAAGAAACATAGAGAAAAAAAAACCAGCCATATACCTGAATGATCCATGGCTTGGAATCTTGGAACTTGAACCCGAAGTCTTGAGATGTAATTGCCATAAAACCTTCACGTTCAGGCTCTGTAAAGAATTTACGCTAACAAGTTGGCATCAAAAAGATAAATATATATATATGAAACGAATTCAAGAAAGAGAATTGGAAATATTAAAGAGATAATATGCGTAAGAATTTACGCTAACAAGCTGGAATTACCATAAGAAACAACTTCCAGCAAAGGAAGTTTTATTTTTTCAAAATCTTCCACGGCATATTGTTTCTCAAGCTCCTCTATAATATGCTGCAACCATTAAAGCAAGCAATTGATTTTTAAAGGGAAAAAATACAGAAGAAATCTTCCTTGTTTTTCAGTTTGCTCCAATGAAAGGACAAAAAAAAATAAGTGAAGGTACAGAACTAACAACTTACTACTGATTCATCAATGCCATACAAGTCATAATCCCTTTTCCATACTAGATTTGTTAACAGCTCATAGGCGTATTGTATCTGCATAGTATTTAGTATCACTCGTAGTATTAGTAGAAACTAAAGCACAAACAAAAGGCTGACAGGATTAGCACATGCGACCAACCTTTATAAACTCAGCTGGACGAGCATCTCCAGAACTCGAATCCCTGTCGCCACCAATTTTGAAATAAAATTAGTACAACAGTTGGGAACTAATGATTGGTCATATTTACAAAGATTTTGGGTTTGCAATAAACTTTCTACTTAGAACAACTTTAAAGTCTAGCTCTCAAATTCGATTAGAAATACAATCCATTCACTACATGCCTAGCCTAACTATACTAATAGCAAGCTGAATTGTTCTTAGAAACAAGGTCAACGAGAAGTTCTTCCTCAATCATATAACAATTAGCATATTGCATCGCTGGTGGTAGAAAAAGACAGCTCAAAGAAGCTTTTTTTAAGTTTAGCAGTGAGCAATAAAGGCCCAATATCATTCTAGTTCCACAGTCAATGTTAGTTGTAATAAACCAATTGCAAATTGATGGAAATTCAGAGAACAAATCCTCAGATCGAGAAAGTTACCACTTAGAAGCAATACTCTCGTATGCCTCTCTCACATCATCCACTGAACTGTACATCTTCACACCCAAAACTAAGAAATCATTTAGGAAAAGAAATCCTCAGATCAAACAATGAACGCGGAAGGCAATTGTAGAACAGTAGACACACGAGAGAGTGCGTATACAAATTGTGTAGAAACAAGGTACCGTCGTAGTGAGAAGGAGGAAAGGAGCGAGGAAGAAGAAAAAGCTGGAAGAACATAGAGAGGACGAAAAGGGTAATAGGAGCCGCGTAGGCTCTGAGGACGGAAGGCATCGACGGAGTTTCCTTCGCCATCGGTTTTTCTTTTTGGGTTAAAAACTCCGATCAAATCAAATCTCTCGTTCGGATATTTTTCCGCGTATATCCTTAAATACGGATCGATTCCATAAGTAAGTGATAAATACTCTTTTTTTTTTTCTTTTTATGGTCAAAATCACACATCTTGATCCAACTTCAACATTCTTTTCTTTTTATTAAATTAAAAATCTCTTAAATTATTATGAACAAAAAGAAGACTTAAAACGACATTTGAGGACAATGATACAATACAACATTGGTAGTTTAGTTTCCTTAGCCAGACACCTGAATTCGAATTTACCATTTACTTCTAAAATTCTTAAGCTTTCAGACTAAACCAGGTCATGTGTGCAAAAACTGTTTTATGTGAAACATGGCAAAATAGAGTTAGCTAGGAATGTAAAAAAGACACTTGAGCGATTCTTAAAGACAGTAACCAGAAACAAAGAAACATAATTTCTCTTTACATCCACTGGATCCTTGAAAGTGATCCAAAGGTTGCTTTCTATGTACTCACAGTCTCATACTCTCCCTCTCTATATACTTTACTTACAAGACCCCGACTCCAACCTGGTCATGCCTATACCGAGCAAGGGTACACATGATGTTCCTGGAATGAATATCCAAAGACATATGCATGCAACCTTCGTAGGATTTGTCCTACATCTTTCCTCCAAAGCTGATTGTTTCCAAGAAGTTCAGACATGCCAAAAATGGAGTATCAAGCGAAATTGCAGTATCTTTTCTCCTCATATTAACTGAAATGACACAAAATAGATATGGAAAAAAAAAAACTGCCAGCTAAAACTTCTCCAAAACATCAACAGACAATGAGGCAGAAGGAACAAGTGCAGTATAGGTAAAAAAAAATATAGCATTTGTGTTTGCGAGTGTTCGTTTATCACCTATACATTTCCTGAAATTGCATCAAGCTGTGTATAATTCACTCTTTGGTTTTTCTATCTCTATGGTTTGGTTTCCGGATGCATTCTGCGGATATCGAACTTGTCTACAAACTCCAAAGGAGAAACTGTCTCCTTTCTGATCCTCTTAACCTTGGGGCTCAACAGTCCCCTGTGGCTGAATCCGTACAGCTTCAGCACTTGATCATCTGCAAAATTAAAAGCCCTCTCCATACTCTTGAAGCACTTCTCAACTGCGTAATCAGCGTAGCTGCCACACGGTTTGCACCCTACGAAATGTGTCACAAAGGGCCATCTCTCATCGCCCAATCCCGGATGATACTTCTCTATCATCTCTTCATATCTATCAACCAAACCCTCCCAAAACCCGTGCAAATAATATTGATTCTCAACAAAAACCTTCTCCATCCATTTATCCTTCTGTGAAAGAAGGAGATATATCAACGCCGATTGATCATCGGCTTCAAATGCTGGCCGGCCTTTCAGATAAGCTGTCAGTATCTTCCCAGCTTCATCACGGATCGGCCCTTTTGGTCCCATTGGGGCCCAAGCATCTAACAAATCCAATGACCACTGACAATTTCTCAACAGAAAAATACCTGTGTTCAGCGCAACCCAAGACTTTTGGTTGAACAACAAGTCTGGATAACCGTGTATCACCAGATTATGCTTCTCGTACCGAGACAACGGGATCTCAAACAATATATCAGTGAACAAAGCATCACTATCCATCCACCAAATCCATTCTACTTCTGGATGAGACAGCATTAATCTCCTAATCATAGGCAATTTGGTCCAATACCCTGAGAGCTCCTCATCCAAATGCGCCATGTTATACACAATTTCTATCCCGTGAAGCCGACAGTAATCTATCTTGTTCTTCACGGATTTCAATAGATAATAGTCTCCAATTGGTTTATCGCAGGGTCCCGGGGGAGACCCGGTAAGAAGCAAGATTCGAGCTTTGCCATTGAGAATACTAGGAAACTCAGGGTTCTGAGTCAGCCATACCTTGCGTTGACTGTCCCAGTTGGTGATCCTGGGCCCTAGAGTGTACGCCACATTGGAACTAATCTCAACTTCATGAGGCTCATCCAATTTGGTCACATTGGGACTAATCTCAACTTCAGGAGGCTCATCCAAGTTGGTCAAATTGGGTTTAATCTCAACTTTAGGAGGCTCAACCAAGCTGGTAGGATCCGAACCAGATGGGATCTCAGCAAGAATCGGATTGATTTCTCTGATGAGATTCTGATTAACAGCATCATCGTTCGAGCTTTCAAAGTTCCCAAAGCTGACTGTGCCAAGCAGAACAAGGATGGTCACGAAGCCGCAGAGAATCATGATCTTGATGTTGATTAAGGTATTCTGGAGCCAACCGCACAACAAAGCACGGCCTCTCCCTCCAGTCGATACAGCCGTTGTCGGAAGTCCTCCACCACTTCCAGAGGATCTCGACCCATCCTGACCCATTTCACCAGTCGCCTCTTCCTCCCTAGATGTTACTCACAGAGAGAGACCAGCAGATGCCACTTGAAACAAGACAAGGTCTAACTAATAACCATAATCAGTGAAGACTATCTGTTGCTCA